CTGTAGTTGACATATTTTCACCTACAGAAATGTTAGAACCATTTCCAGTAGTATCATTTTTCGCTGTCGTTAACAATGGTCCATAATTTTCCGTCTTACCCTCTTCTTCTGAATTCGTTGTATTGAAAGTGTTCCCTGTCGATGATTTTGTTGATTTTAGATTATCTTTTATTTTCGAAGATTCCGTTGTTGAAGTATGGTCATCGGGATTTGTTCTAGAACTATTTCCAGAACCATTACTCTCTCCCATTGGCGGTTTACTAACCTCGTTACTTTTATTAACCGTATGGTGAATCTCAGTATTAAGAGCATTATCAGGTGGCAATTTTGTTTCTGGCTCACTCTTCTTCATACTTTCTGAGCTTGTAGTTGAAATATCTTTGCCTGGAACTGATTTAGAACCATCTTCAATAGAAGGTTCTTTGTCCTGTGTCTTCAACGTGTCTTCTTGACCCGTCGGTTTTTCATCCGGTCGACGTATCATTTCATCAGAAGTGCTTCTCATTGTCGTTGTGTCCACTTGATTAATCTCTGTGATACTTACTGAGCTCTCAGTTGAAGAATAATTATCTCGAGAATTTAAAATAGAACGATGTTCAGAAGTTCTTGTCGAATTCATCGCACATGGTCTGTGAGTTTTGTTCATTTTTGCCATGTTCTTTGCTACTACTACTGACGTACCATTTACTCTACAATAAATAATTCATGTAATTATCCGGATAAGCCATATTAATATTTTTTTTAAGTAAAAATACATTTTTTTAAATGTAATTGAAATTTTATCAAATTTATTTACGATCATAGATTTTAATTTTGATTAATGTTTCATGTCAAAATGGTCCATCTAGTGATATGTTGTGCAAGTACTGTAAATGGAAAATTTCTGTATTCACTATTAGTCGAGACACATCATCTTTTTCTATTAGATCCATGTCATCTTTTTTATTATTGAATATTAGTCATACATGCTGGCAATTGTAACCATATATTCAAATATTAAGAAGGTTCACCATCAATTTAAAAAATAATACCAAAATTTTAAAATTTTTTCTTTCAAAAAACTTATAAATAAAAAAATCACTGTGAAAACTTCAAGTCGATTCACTGAACTAGTTTTGAGAGATCGCTTTTCGCAATTAGATCTTATGCACAGGAGTAAAATGTCTTCAATTTTTAAAGTTCTATAACTTTTTTTAAAATATTATTTTTATAAAATTTGCAGCACCAAATAATTAAATATTTTTGAACACATTTATTTTTTGAATCAATTCATGGGTTAAAATGTTTAAAATTAATTTAAATAATTTAATTCAATTTAAATTAAGTTTAATAATGATGAAGAAAAAATAATTTAATGAAGTGATTATCTATTCAAGACTTAAACAGATACTTTACAATTTTTTAAATTATATTACTCCTATTAAAGTTCTGATAAAATTGCGTGGATCTAATGCAAGAAGACGAATTATCTCGATAAACAATGAGTATTAAAATTTTCCATTTATTAACTACATATCTTATTTAAATTCTGCTTATTTAAAGTCAAAAATTTTTTGAAAATCGACAATTACCGAACAAACTAAATTATACTCTGAAAATTAATTCAAAATATTTTTTACACATACTACTTACCTTTCAGGACGCAGGTACATCCATGTTGTAGTAAAAATTGTCAAAGCCAAAATAGCAATCAAAAAGATCAATACAGTAATTTTGAATATTATCGAAGCGTTCATTTTGTATCACGAGCGCGTACGTTTTGTTAATTAGTTTTCCAAAAAAAAATGGATATTTTTATAATTCTTTATTAAATAGGTCCTTTTCCTTCCAAGTTTCAAGTATAATGTTCACTGCAAGAATTTTTAAATTGTACTTGTGTTAAATTCGATCTCATAAACCTTCGATCTTCAATATCATATCTATATATTATTCTAAAGAATAATTAAAATCACATTTTAATAAGTTTTAATAGATTAAGACTAATGAATATTTGATATTATTAAACGCAGTTAAAAAAACATATGATGTAGAAGGTCGTCAGTAGCTTTTTATGTAATTAATTATAATTATGAGTCAGAAATTATAAAGAATTTTGTAATGAGCATTAACTATTAAATTAGGGTCAAGATTCACGTAATATTTTAATGATAATCAAATAAAAGCGGCACCCAAAAAAAAAAAGTGGAATGTACTTTGGACTGGACCTACCTACCGACATGTATTTCGACCCGCTGAATCCGAATTTCAAGTCCGTTTGGCCCGGTCACCCTCCAGTTTTGAGTAAAATGCAAAAAACCTCAAAAAAGGGCAAAAAATTGCAAAAAACTGCAGTCACAGCAATAAAAAAATTTTTGTGGACCCGGATCACGTATGATTTTTATGTATTTCAATTTACTGAATTTAAATCTAAAAGTTACTTAGCCCGATGAGCCGTTCAAATTTGAAAAATAACGAAAAACCCAAAAAAAAATTGCAAAAAATCATGAAAAACTGAAGTTTTCGAATTAAAATCCGTTTTAGACTCGGATTGAGTATGATTTTCATGTATTTTGTTCCACTGAGTTTGAATCTGAAGTTTTCTTTCCCCGCTAACGTTTTAAAATTAAAAAAAATCTCAAAAATCCAAAAAAATCGGGAAAATTGCAGTTACAAATATGAAAAAAAAAATCTATAAAATATGATTAAATACTTTTTTTGTATTTTTTCACGCATAAAATACAAGTTGAGAATTTGAAACTATGAAAAATTGTAATTTCTATAAAAAATGACGTATAACTAGAATAAAAAGAACGATTTTCTCGAATTTCAAAATGTTCTTCGTTGGTATCGAACTCTTTTGTTTTCAAGCGATCTACGCAGTGAATTTTTTTCCGTTTGTTATTATCTCTTGGTGTATCCCTTTTAAGTATCCAGCAAAAATCTGCCATCGTATTAGTATTCCAATTTCTTTGATACCTAGTCTCCATTTCACTTATGTCTTGATGGAATCATTCTTCCTGTTTTTCATGGTAGTTTCTAAGATTTTCAGGAAAATGGTCAATGTGAGAATCCATGAAGTGTAGTTTGAGGTTCATTAAGAAAACTTAATTTTTGTAATTGTCACCAATTTTTCTATTAACGTCCTGTTATTTTCGTTTCTTTGATTTCCTAAAAAGTTTTGAGATACATTTTTGAAACTTACCCAAGCTGCTCTCTCTGTCTCGTTCATTTACTCTATAAAATTTGGATACTGAAATAGTGTTCGAATTTGGGATCCATCAAAAATTCCTTCTTTTGATTTTGCATCACTTATCGCAGAAAATTTTTGGGCCGGGCCAAACGGACTTGAAATTCGGATACAGCGGGTCGAAATACATGTCAGTAGATAGGTCCGGTCCAAAGTACATTCCACTTTTTTTTTTTTGTGTGCCGGTGTAATCATCTAAACACTTTTAATGATTTTTACTCTTCTATTGGAAATAATTTAAAAATCGTGTTTTTTATGCCATAAAGCCATATAAAAAAATTTTTTTTCCTGAATTTACTGAAAATATGAAAAATTAAATTATTTTTATCTGTTTTTTTTGGCTTTGGATATTTTTTTTAATTTAAAGGTGTGCAAAAAAAATTTTTGTTTCATTTTAAAATTTTCCACTTGAGAAATTTTAAGTTTTTTTCAAGTAAAAAAAAAACATAAAACATTCGGAATACAATTATTCAATACAGTAGAATTATAATGGAGTAAGATGAACTACAATGAGAGACTACATAGTAAATTGACGATGTAGATGAGATCATATAATTGAGATAAACAATTAGAGTATCTTATAAATTAAGTAAAACTAAAATACAAGACCTACTATTTTACAATAGTAGTTTAAATTAACTTAAGTTTCGAACTTTTGACAGTGAAAATTATAAAATTCCGAAAATAAGGTTCTACACTGATAGAAGGATTTATTTTTTTTTTAGTTAATTATTATTTAGAGTCGATTTTAACTGTTGTGGTAAAACAGGTAATTAAAAAATAAATTTTTTTTATATACTCATTTTTGGCTTTACGAATTTTTTACTTAAAGCTAAAAAAACGGATATAAAAAAAATTTTTTTTGTTGTTTTAATAAATTTTTCCAATTTTCCATAATCTTAAAATAAAAAAAATTACTTTCTCTTTTGATTTATTACAGATTCTAAAATATATCTACTACGGCGGTAGACTCAAACTTCTTTTCTTGAATCTTTTAGAATGGAACCATCTCTTCAGATATTCTGCTTTCCTGTTATAATAATCAATTTATTTGATCATTGAATGATTTTTAAAGATGCTTGATGGCATCAATAAAATTTTGAAGCCTCTAATTTGAAGTTGTACTTAAAAAAAACCAATATATTAACAGTGAAGTGTTTGTAATTTTTCAGTATTTTAATCATGGTTAGACAAGTGATGACTTTTGGACTAGGAACGCATGATACTAAAAGAACTATTTCAAATAAAAAAAAAGCTTCATTTTATTGGGTCCCATACGTGGGTCCATGAAGGTCCAGGTATACGAATAAATCTATTATATACACATTTATATTCTGTATATCCCACAATTCCTTTGGACTAGTTTCCTATGATTCACTTGTTGTCATTGAAAAATATTTTTAAAAAATTCGAAGAAAGATGAAATCTGGTTAATTAATTATTAACCGAAGGCTAAAAAAATGATCCATATCGCTACAATGTCAAATTATTTTTTTCTATTATCTAACGTAATTAGTATAACAAGATTATGATGAGATATACACTCGACAAGGCCAAATTAACAGAATTCTAATCTCATAAAATTATTAATTATTAATTAGTACTATCATGTACGTCATTAAAAATATAAGGTCAATGTGATTTCAAACACAGATCGTTTTTTTATTCAGACAGAATAACAGTTTAATATTTTAAAGATCAATCTACGGATAGTTCCTTACGCGGAAGGTTTAGAAGTGACAAAATTACAACAATATTATAATCAGTAAAAAAAATGAGGTGGAAATACGCATATTGGTTTTTGATCGTTACTTTTCTTGTAATGATATTTGTTTCATTAATTTCTATTAGTGTAACTATGTATCTTAATGAACTAAGGTAATTACAATTTATTAATACAATTTTTTCGCTACAAAATTGTGAAATAAAAAATATTAAATTACAAATTATATTAGAAATACCATTTGATTTTTTTTATATACTTATTAAATGTCTCATTTAAAAACACAATAACCGTAAAATTTTTAAATGAATTTATTTTTTTCAATGTTATATTTTTTAATACATTCATTTAACAATCTAATGTTTTTTTTTTCTTACTAATGTATTTATTAATATGTCTTCTAAGCTAAGTTTACTTTATTTAGAAAATTCAAGCGCTTTATAATACTCTATTATAATTAAATTATCTATCAAAAAGTGAAGTGCTTTTTTAAAAAATTTTGATTTATTTATGCATAAAATGCATTTTAAGATTTCATTTTTTGTACAACTATGTCAGAGATACTTGCGTTTGTCTAATAGAGAGCGAGAGAAAAAAGTGTAAGCCATATTTTTAAATAATTTGTTATTGTTTCAGAAATCAGACTGTGGCAATATGTTCCGTGGACTCGGCATTAAATACATCGGCCAGCGATACGGATGAAAATTACAACTGTTCAATATCAGACAGCGATCAAAGTATCGATAACAATACACAGAAGCCTGTTGGTGATGGTCTTAGTGACAATAATGATAAAATTATATTGAGAGCCGATATTCATTCCGCGGATTCCGCATCAACGCCGATCAATAAAACCGGCAGAATTGATAATCATATTACATCAGAAACTAGTCAGAGTACGAATAAAACAAAAAAAGATTTAGTTACTGACCGTAAGGATGATATCGTTGATCAAAACAAAAAAGATTTAACAGAACAATCGACTCCGACACCAGATAAGTCAATTCAATGGCTTGACATTAACAATTCCGACTGGATTTTACCTATTTTTTACAGAAACAAATCAGATACTCCATCAATATGGAAATATGGTTGCATGGGGATATTAATTCATCCAAAAGCAGTTCTTACCGTTCGTTTTGCTATAAATAAGTAAGTAATTGCACGCTGATTTTTTGTTTCGTTGAATCTTAAATTAAACAGTAAGAGTTCATTGATTTATATTAACTCAAATTCAATTCTGAAAATTAGTAAAATTCCACTACTATATAATTAAATTTAACTGATTCAATTTTAGACAATAGTGTTATGTAGCATAATGTTATTGTTGTGCTGCTCACTTTTTTTAGCCTATGAAATCCATTTAATCCCCTTATCTATACTATAGTACTGAGAAAAAAAATACGTTTATTAAGAAAATTTTCTCGATAAATTATCCAAAGATAAATATTGATGCTCTTCTTTTCAGAAATTAATAATTAATAATAATATTATATTTGATCGTCATCGACCCAAGAAATGAACCAAGAAATTGTTAATTGAGTTAAAGTATTTTTTTTTTCTCAGGGTAATATTATAAAGAGGAAAGATTTGATTGTTTCTTTGTTTGTTTGCATTGCATAGGCTCTCAAACTACTGAATTTGAAAAATTTTTTCACTGTTGGGAAGCTACACTATTCCCGGGTGACATAGGCTATATTATAATTAATTTTTAAATTTATGTTAAATATCCGTGCGAAGCTGGGGTGAACTGCTAGTCAGTAATATAATTTTTAATACTTCTTGTACTTTACAGATCAAAAGAGGTAGCTCATGCTGTTGGAATATTTGACCGAACGAAGGGTCGTAATGAAATTGATGTGAACTATGATCAACTGTATGACCCACTAAAGTTTACGAGTGCTTCACCTTACAAATTATTAGAGTTTTGTAAGTTTTTTAGTTTATTTTAATTTTATCTTATACGTCCAAAGTTTAATTTTAATTCAAAAAATTTATTTCAATAATTAATTATATTAATTTCCGACAATCATTCTGTTTGAATTTTATCTTCAGCGTACACATTTAATAACAAAACAAGGAATGAAACAAAATATGAGCTAGGTTTGTTTATGATGATAATGAAAGAAGCGATAAATTCCATCAAACCCGTGGATGTTTCTCAGACGTCATTAATGCCTTTGCAGGACATGTTCGATGAGAAGATTATAAAAGAGTGCGTTCACGTGACATTCGTGGAGAATTTTGACACCCGTCATTTTGAAGAAAAAAAAATTTCTGAGAAACTGATGAATCGTTCAGCGATGGTCGAAAGCTACACAGCAACATACAAAGACAAATGTGTTAAGCTGTGTGAACTTATGTCGGTTAATTACATCCCAGAATCGAACGTCTTTGGTACTGTCGACAGTTTGAAGTTTGACGATAAAGTAAGTTTATTTTGATAAAATTTGAAGTTTTTAATGTGTATGTATTTTAAAATGAAAATTATATTACAGAGTAAAAAATTCAAGCTGCTTGGAAGTCCACTGGCTTGCAGGCTTGTCAGTGATGGGCCTGATAGTTATTCGTTCGCGGGAATACTGATAAATTCGTTTTATACTGGAATGTATGAATATACAAATGTACATCATGAGCTTAAGTGGATTCAACAAAAACTAAAAAAAATTGTAGTGTAGATATTTATTTATAGATGGTATATTTTTATTGTTAGTATTATGTACTTATTAATTATTGTAAATATTTTTGTTAAATTGTAATGGATGAAAAAAAATTTATTGAAAAATTTTAATTATTTTCTTGGAAAATTTGACTATTAAGTCATACTATAATATAGTATAATTATAGTATGACTATAGTATAATTAATTTAATCTGGAATCTTTGCTGTAGGTTGGATGGAAGTGATTGAGCTTAATTATAATTAATTTTAGCTTGATACATACCTTGATACATATGATAAATGCCGGTATAGCGAGTTTGATTTTCTATTTTATCAAGCAAGGAAAATTACTGTCAACTCAAAACAGAAATAGCTTCCTTTGATAACTCTACGTTATCCAGTTAGCACAAACTACATCAAAATATGACGTAAACCTACGGCTGGAATAAAACGTAAAGTTTCCGACAACAGTTGTACATGTAACTAGTTTTCCTCAAGTTGACATCAACTCACTATCAACTGTCCATGCAACTTTTCAGCAGTAGGTTTGCGCTAACTTGATACGTAAGTTGAAGTCATATTGCGTACAACAGTTGCAAATTAGTGCTTTCTTAGAAACTAATTGACTTCCAGTAGTAATGGTTAACTAAACATCGACTTTTCGGTGATTTTTCATTGTATGAAAATTGTAAGCAAATTGATGAAAATCTACAGTCAAAATTTGAATGCGTTAACAATCAAATTTGTAGTTAAATTTCCTTTCAACTTTACTCCAATTTGACTGAACTACTTGCACAGCAAGTTTTAACGTCAAATCGCAGAGTAACTTATAGACAATTTAAGTTTGCTTCAAATTGTGGCCGTAGATTGACAGCAAGTTTCAGTTAAGTTGCTATTAGGGATACACTTTAATATAACTTGACATCAATTTAATGCGCTAAATAAACTATTATATAATTTTTTAAAGAAGAAAGCTGAGTTATCAGTAGTTGTTATCTTATTCGAGTATAGACAAGCAGCAGGCATCGTTCAGCGATCGGTAAGGTAGACTGTCTTAAGCGTTAAACTTTATGCTCCCACCTATGGATACATAATTCTCTTCTCTTTTTCGTTGGTCATTAGTATGATCGATTTTTCTTTTTGAAGTATAATTTTAATTATAAAATTCGTGTGATAAAAAATATAAATTATATCTAGATAAAATTCTAGCCGAATTCTGGAAAATATTCTAGCTGAATATTATGATTACCAAAATTGTCTTGAAGAAAAAAAAATTTTTTATAAAAAAACAATTTTTGATGAAAAAAATAATTTTTTTCTAAAAAAAAAAAACAATTTTACTTATCATAATTTAAATATATAATATAAATTTTGAATATAATAATTTAAATAAATTTTGGGGATATAAATTGTAAACAATAATTGAAGTTGTAGAAACATAATAAATGAAAATAAAAAGCCCATGTTCATTAATAATCATGATTTATTAATTATTGTAGTGATATAGATTTATAATAATGATCCGTAATATTACTAACTACGGTGATATATTTATAACTAATAATGACGTTTATACATTGATTATACAATATTTACAATAACATAATCATAAGCAACACTTTTCATTCACAATTTATTACTTTTAATCACGTATGATTTTATTCACAGGTTAAATCAGACACAAGCAATCATCACATCGTTTTTTATTTTTTAAAATCTTCAAGTGTTCAGACAAAAACTCCTCGTGCGTCACAATTTATTTCAACCAACAAAAGATGTAATTTAACGAAAAGTTATTAAACTTTAAATAACAATAATAATAATAAAATAATTATCGCACGTTTTGTACCTCACACTTTAATCCAAAATGTTTGACAGCCGTTATTTTACCCTCATTAAATGTATATTTACAGTTCTATTGTATCATCATATACTTCTTAATAATAATCATAGTGACAATTATTTTCATCAGTGTGATAAGAAATGACAGTGTTACAATATATGTAATGCTCCATTTCTTCATTATTTTTTCGTAAAATTTTTCACTTTTTTTTATCGTCTTCTTACATAACTAACGCTTTGGATTTTTTTCTGTCTTTATTCACTATGCAGAGAAAAATCTCTATGATTAAAAAATCATAATAATTAAATAGTAAAATAATTTAACAAATATTTCTATTAAACTAATGAAAATTTTCCTGAATTGAACGATAAAGTATAAATAAAATCAATTGCCACTTTAATAAAATTGCTTCATTACTTACATTTACATATTATATATAATGATTCTCATTCACAGCAATATTTGCTAATGCATTGTCGAATATTTAATTATACTTTAGTTTTTTTTTTGTTACTTAGTCTACAAAATATTTGAAGAATAAAATTAACGTTACATTTTCTTGTTATTTAAATTTTTTTTCCCTTTCATTATTGAGGACACATTTTATAACATTTGTTTTAGATTCTAATTAATTGGACTTTATTTTTTTACTGGAATAAATCACCAATGTATAAATATATCTCGATATTAATTAATTTATTTATCTTTTAATTTAAATATAAAAGTGTATCGATATGATTGCACGTCGCCAATTGACGTGATTTCCTGTTTATAATATTTATTATTATTATTTCTGTATAACTTATATTTTATTTTTTCTTTTTGTTTAAATGACATTGTAATATGAAGATTTTTATTTTTAATTATTGACGCAACAGCTGACGAAATCCGGAAGAAAAAGTTTTATAATTATTATAAGTAATAAAAAATCATATCAATTATTTGTTTTATCTTCATTATTATTTAGTGTCTTTAAAAATATTGTTACCTTAAAAAATAATTATTTTTGATTGTATGTCTCATTAGTTTTTATAAATAATTGCGCAACTTGCTTGTGCATTTATGAAAAAAAATTTCTGGCATTTAAAATGCATTTTGTGATAATTAAGTGTCTTGGAGAAATGCACAGAAAATAAAATATGTATCAGACAAAAATTCTGGAAAAAAAAATCTGTATCTGATAATATGTGATAGATGGTCAGGTCACATTTAAACATGTGTGAAAAAAAAATGCTAATTTTTTGTCGGGTTACATTTTTATATGTTCATATCTTATGATCAGAAATATTATCAATATCACTGATCACATTTATAATTATGACCATTGATCACATATATGATCACGTATATGATCAAAATCATTGATTACATATATGATCATAGTTATTGATCACATACATGATCAGGCTAACTGATCACATATATGATCATGATCATTGATCATATATATGATCATGATCACATATATGATCGTTATCACTAATCATAGATATGATTACGTATATGATCATGATCACTAATCATAGATATGATCACAGATGTGATCATTGATCACATATATGATCATTGATCACATATATGATCATTGATCACATGTATGATCATAATCACTGATCTCATATATGACCATAATCACTGATCACATATATGATCATAATCATTGATCACATATATGATCATGGTGACTGATCACATACATAATCAAGGTGACTGATTATATATATGATCGTGATCACTAATCATAAATAAGATCACGTATATAATCATGATCACTAATTATATATATGATCACAGATGTGATCATTGATCACAGATATGATCATTGATCACATATATGATCATGATCACTGATCACATATGTGATCGTTTATAACAGATCACAGATATGATCATATATAATATCTATGAAGATATATGTTCCTATATAATCATTTATGACCACATACAGCTGAATGATAAATGATCTGATTGTATATTTTGACTGTTTTTTTAAAAAATCCCTGAAATAAAAAAAAAAAAGGAAAAAAAGTAAAACGAAAAAATGATATTTTTTTTCAGTTTAATTTTTTGTTAATATTTAACAAAGATAAAATCATAATAATTTTGTCTGTACATAGATGCAATTATTGATTGCACTGCACTACAGTGTTGATGGATACGTTAACCCAGCATAATATGTATCAATTAATATTACATATGTATATAATAATTAATCAATAATCAATTAATTAATTAATCAATTAATATTTCATTATAATAATTATAATAGTGATAATACTATGGTACAGAAATATAAGTACATTGGTTTAGAGATTGCAGGCTGCTCCTCTTATATCACAGCGAGGGGCATCGCCGGGCCGGCCTCAACTTACAAGAACTTGCCTGTCTTTTCATATCATAAATATACCATAAATATATATATACATATTAAAACGCGTTTTATCACTCGACACATTCACGCCATTTGTTTATCATTTATTATAATAATAATAGTGACAATAATAATAATTAATAATAATAATAATATTTAATTACTTCTCCATACATTACACATTACAATTACTATTAAATTCGGTATCACTCAATCAACGCGTTCGACATGTATACATACATACGTATATTTTGTTTTTTATACATTTATATTTATTTATTATTTATATTATATATTTATTTATACATTTATAGTAACATTTCAAGTAAATGTTACATTATAAATTATCCTTAATTTTTTTTATCAATCTAATACAATACATTTGACCCATTAATGACGCAATGGACGGTCAAAAGCGTCAAGTGCAATCGTATCTACAGCGCCACGTGTCTTGCGGCTCAAGTCCTTTTTTTTTCTTTTCGTAAGTATAATAAATAAAATTATTTAATTAACCTAAGCTCAGTCTAGGCGCTGTAGCTTCATAATTTCATCTTGTCTCTTTTTTTTCGGAATTTAATCAATTAAATGTCGCAAGAGCTTTTTTTTTGTTTGAATAAATTATTAAAAGAAAAGCTTGACGATTTATCTCACAATGTTTAGACTAGTGTTGTAGGAAGGAGCGTGTCCTTAAAAATTTTTTAATTCAAACACATACATTAATTCACACACACATACACACATACTCACTCGCTCAATACTTTGAGTGTATAAGGAAAATGCAGTTTAAAAGTTATTTTTTTTAGGAATTAATTTGGGAAGTTTCTGTTTTTAAGGAAATGCACGACGACAAACAAAAAACAGGAAGAGTAACTATAAAATAATAATAGTAATAATAATGATAATAATAATGATAATAATAATGATAATAATAATAATAATAATAATAATAATAATAATAATAATAATGACCATATTGATGATAATGATTTAATGAAAATATGTGAATAAATTTCACGCGGCCAGTCCTTCGCCTCTGGGCGCAGATGCTGGCATTCGGGCGGCAGGTGGCGTTGAGTCGTTTTCGGATCTCGAGGACGGACCCTCGCGGTCGAAGTGATGCTGAAGAGACTCTCCACTCCAGGCGGGTACACTGGCGGAATTTTGGTTCCCGGTGTTGGAAGACGGCGTACCTGGGGAGTGAGACGGCGAGGGTGTTTGGAAGAGCATTGACCCCGAAGGTATCACGGGTTTTCCGTCCCCCATTGGTCCGTTACTGGGCGCCATTGGCGGCTTTTCCATCGGGAATCCACCAGGAGCGCCACCGTACATTGTTCCGAACAGACCTGCGTATTTGCTCGCATTAACTGGATGCGTTCCTGGTAGGCCGTTGTTACTTTGTATCACTGATATCTCGTTCAACTGGAAAATATTTAATAGGTTAGCTTCTAGAAAATACACAGAAAATAACATTTACTTGAATTCAGTGAATAATTTTGAAGAATTTCATCTTCTTGATTTAAATAGAAAAATTCTTAAACTAAGAAATTTTTTTTGGTTTAAGGTAGTGTTACCGGTTTTAGAATTGACATTCAGAATTTGATGAAACTTGGCATATAGGTACATAATAATATCTTAATTAACCACTTAAATTTTTGAAGCCCTACAAAGAACTGAAAAAAAGATATTAATATTTACATTTTTTTGTCTTTACCATTGATCCTTATGGAAAATCACAGACTTTATTTTATTTCACAAAACTGGACGTTCAGATTTTTATAAAAATTTAGACAATGAGAGAAAATAACATCTAAAATATATTTAATAACCATCAGTATGGTTTCAAAGAATATGAGAATATTTGTTCATAAAAAACATTCAAAATTGATCTCTGTCTCTCTTTCTCCAACGCGATTTAGTATAGGGAAATCTACTACATTAATAAAATAGCGTCAGGTTTTGGGATTTGACTTTTGTGGTAACTACTCTTGTAGTACTACCTTAAGTAAATTTTACTTGATTCAAGAATTTTTCAGCTTGATTCAAGACAATGAAATTCTTCAAAATTATTTTCTTAGTTCAAGAATTTTTCTCTTAATTCAAATTTTTCCGGTCCAGACGCTAACTATGCAGCAGAAAGTTACGGATTTTCTCTGATATGAGTTACGAAATAGTTTACTCTTTAGTTTTTTAATTTATAATGTTTAGATCTTCAGACAGACAAATAGAATTATTCATGCATTCTTAAGCTGTGTCATAAATAAAATATATATTTTATGTTCAGTCGTAATTTGTGATTGTTTTAGTTTTTTGATGAGATTAAATAAATTTTAATAAATCATCCCGTTTATCAGAATTACATTCGAAATATACTGACTTGATGACAAATTTAATGTAATGGTAATGATTACATACTATGATTGTGTTGAAATAAAAAATGTATTTTCACGATAAACAAATATTGCCATTGTCAATTTTTTTGTTTCATTCCTAATTAATTTTTAAAAGACTTCAAGGAAATTATTTTTTTATTTTATGTCTGATATAGTTTTTTTTTATAAAATTTTCATCGGAATATCTAAGACAAATAATTTATTTATCTTCCATTGACTTTCATTCTAAAATCTAATTGCGACTCATTATTGTAGAGCCACAATAACGCCAGCAATAACTGACAAAACATTAGCAATAAAAAAAAAAACAATTTTTCCCGCAGAAGTTATTCATATTTTTCTTTAATGAAAAAAATAAAGTAATTAACATTACTATCTAATTGTTTAAACAAAAATTGTCAGCAATAATATCTACTGTCAGTAATTACGCGAAGAGTTGATAAAGTGACTGCTATTTTGCAAATAATAGACATCATTAGCTATTACTGTGAATAATTGCGATGAATAATTTTAAAATTACTATACCATACTGCTTACAGTGATCATTAAATTTCCTATGAATCATTACCATTATCATATACGGATTTGCGATCTATAATTACTACCGGTAATTTATATTATAATTTATAATTTACAATAACCAAATAAATAAAGAACATACTTTTTGCTGAACACCATTAAGGAAGGGCGCGGGTAGATATGGATAAAAGAGGTCCGGTCGTCGCTGAAGAAACTCCGAGTCCTTGGGTGTGATGGGCAGCGGAGGCAGATCCAGTGACATTCTGCGACCTCGACGTGAAGCTCCGTTCGTCCACATATGTGTCCCCATGTGAACCTAATTGACATGACAATACAATGCAATACAATTGGCAATAAGAACAACATCATCAACAACAACAATAATAATACAATTTAAATTATATATGATAAAATAGATAATAGACATTAAATTAAATATAATACATAGAAAATTAGTACGTAGTAACGCGGGCGTTAGTGCACAAGCAACAGTGGTCACTCTGATTCTGATTAGTTGTAAAGAGAACACTGACTTAGCATTAAATGTTGATACATATAAACTAAAATCTAAAATATGACACCGTAAATTTTATAATAAAAGGAGTCAAAAATATAAAATTATTTTAAATTAAATGTATTAGTGTGTGTGTGTACCTTAAGATTGCCCTTGGTGGTGAAGGCCTTCTGGCAGACGGTGCATCGGAAGGGCTTGTCACCAGTATGCGTTCTCATATGGATTTGCAGCGCCGAGGATGACGAGAAATTCTTATTGCAAACCTGGCACAAGTGCTTGCTGGACATGCCTGTAAATACACCCACACACTCACACATGTGTTTTTTTTCCACTAATTCAGTTCTACTCTATCTAGCTCTAGTTATAAGGCACCCGCGGATAATAAGACCTGTCGGGTAATAAGAGATATTTGTAATGGAAATAAAATTATCCATTGATTTTTATTTAAGGATATTCCATTAAAAAATGGTAATTTGTACCATAATCTAAAAAAAAATAAATGTGGGAGTGTACTTACGTAAATAATTTAATTATACTCAACCCTTGGGAATATTTTTTGGCTTTATATGTCGTGGTATGCCTCTATCAGGTATTATATAGTCATATATAATTTTTTATCAAAGTTAGTTTTGAAAATTTCCAACAGATGGCGCATGATCGCTGAATTATCTCGTTAGTAGAGAATTGAGTTTTAAAATATATGTTTTTTATTATTTTAAGGAACTTTTCTTACAATTTTGGGTTTAATTAGATAGTGAACCAGATTTTAGTAAATACACAGAAAAAATAAATAAATTTTTTTTAATTTAAGGAAATTTTACTTGATTCAAGAATTTTTTCTCTTGATTCAAGACAATTATCCTCTTCAAAATTATTTTCTTGGTTCAAGAATTTTTCTCTTGAATTAAGTTAATCGTTTTTTCAGTGTAGGACAAATAAATTGACGTACAAATTTTATAATTGATCTTAAATAGTAAAGATAACAAAATTATAGTGCAAGCTATTAAACCCTCAGAGTACACACCTCTGAATAGAACTTTAGAGTACACACGGGGTCACTTCTTATGAAGAATTATATCTCTATTCATAGAAGCTATGCATTTTATCGGAATTCAGGTTATTACATTTATGTTAGATAAAACAATGTTCTTTTGAATACAATCATTATTATTTTTAATTAATTAAAAAACAATTCTGGGGTCAAAATTACCCCCAGTGTACTCCAAGGGTCAATTAATTTAAAATAATTTAAAATTATCAAAGTATATTAAATTATAGCCTGTTTGTTACAGTTTTGGGAAATATTTAATTTCATTTAGATTTTTAATGTTAAAATTAACCATTTTTTAAATGTACATTCCTATGGAAGTGTACACATCAAAACTTATTAATTAAATTGGGAATTTATCATTTCATCACAAATATCTTTAGGCCTTACTATCCGCTGGTATTCTCTATTATGTTTATTAACTATTTTATTTCGATTGATCAAATAAAACTTTTCAAGCGTTGATAGCAAGAATTTCACCAAAAATTAATTTTTTTCTCAAAAAAATTTTTCATTTTCATCACCAAAAAGTTATTAATGAAAAATTTACTACATAGCTAAAAATAGTTAAAAGATAGCATTTAAGCTGCGAAGTAAAGCGTGAGCGGTCTATTGCTTAAAAAAAATTATATAACGACCACTTTTAATCAGTGAATGTAAATTTACCCTCGAAAAAGGACATGCACTTGAGACTATTAGCTATTGAAAAGTAAACAAACTTACTAGGTCTCTTTGGCGCGGGAAGGTCACCCTCAGGAGGTGACCGTTTTATGGGAGGCATCGACTCGACTGGCGGCATCGGCGGCGGGATCGGTGGCGGTGGAGGTGGAGGTGGTGGTGGTGGTGGTGGAGGAAGACTCGAGTCGTCGTTTATCAACGAACTTTGTGAGTTTTCCTGGTCTTGCAAGAGATGCTGCGACGGAGGCTGAGATCCAGGCGGTTTGCCATCGGTGAACAAATGCGCAGGCATGTCTCTTATTTTGTGTGTAAGCATGTGTTGCTTCATGTTGCCCTATTGTTGCAAAGAAAATAAAACAGTCAATATATTGTTTGGTTTTTTATTAATTAATCAGTAATCACAGCACATAGGGTGATTTTAGTTTGGATTTTAGTACGGACTCGTGAATAATTGACAAGCTTATGATGTAATAAACGCGCGTGCATCCGGTCATCAATGATTTTTTTTTTATAAATATATTGCATAAATATATAGATTTTATCAGTATTTGATTATCCCGTGAAAAAATTTCTGATATGCCCATATTCAATTTTTTTTTCTGTCATGATATGAGAATTGACTATATTAGGCTATATGTGGTAATATTATAATATATCTGCCATTGTATAATTTTTTATTAGGAATAATTTAGCCGAAATTTTATATTTTTTGATTTTTCTTAATCTATTAAATTAGGACTAAAAAATATTTTTTTTTTAATTACACTTATAATTTTTCAAATTTTTTACAAATGAAATTAAAAAAAAATTTTTTTTTGTAATAATTTTTTCAATAAAAAAATTTTAATAATTTTTAGATGTCGGCTCACTTTATTGTCATAATTTTTTATTAAACAGTGTTAAAAATTTCCAACAGATGGCGTATGATCGTTGAATCTTCTCCTTACTGAAGAGTTGATTTTAAAGAGTTAATTAAAAAAAAAAAAATTGATTTATTTTACCTCTTCAAGGAGCTTATCAGGCATTGGTTTTTGGTTTAATCAACTACTAAACACACACATTTATATAAAAAAAAATAAAAAATGATTTTATATAGCCTGATATGGCGACATCAGAAAATTTTTCAACGGGAAAAGTTGTATTAAAGTTTGATGAAGCAGAGAGCCGTGTCAATGGTGACTCTTACCAGGAAGACGTGGTCCGAGGTAAGAAGTCCGAGGGCGGGTGGCATCAACGGGGGCAAGTGGACTGATGCAGTAGGAGCACAGGTAGAAGTTAAAGCCCACCGGCCTCCGTTTCCTGATGACCACCCCCGGGATTTCTTCTCCTCGGTCCTCCGTCGTCTGTTGCGTTTCGGCTTAACTTCTGGCTCTTGGGTTTCCGAACAGTTACACGTTCTTATCATCGTGTCGTCACTCTGAAATTATTCTTCAGTACAAATGTGTACATGCTTATTGAATATATTTGTTTGTTACTGTAATCCCTCTACTGACATTAACATGACCGGACGCATTTATGTTTTTATTTTATTTTATGGGCCACTTGATTCCAATCACAATTGTTCTTTTGTAAATTAAAAGTTCAGGTGCTTTGTCAGCTAAAATTTTTAGCTGCTCGTCAATTGCGGAATGGAATGGAATAGAGTAAAATAGATAGAGTTTAATTTAATAGAATAGAATGGAATGGAATGAAAAAACAATCGCGTTATAGGGATTACATGTATCAAAGTGTACTCACCTTTGTCGAGAAGCCACGGTCGCAAATGGTGCATTTGAACGGGCGCTCCTTCGTGTGACTCCGATAGTGTATCTCCAGTGCGGAGTTACACGCAAACGTTTTGTAGCAGATATTACACGTTGTGTTGCCACGTACTGCAACAGAGCGTGTCAAAGTTCAGTTAACATTGTAAGCTCCAACGCTCAACTATTTATTTTATTAACTTATTTATTCCAATTTGTTTTCTGTCTATTTTTATTTTTATTTTATTTTTTTTTGATACTTTACTTATTAGTCTAAATTATTAAGAAAAAAATTTTAACTCTTTAAGAATTTTTTCTTCATTTTATTGCCAATTGAATTTACAATTTAAATACTGAGCTGTATATATGTATAAATATATCTGATTGCAATACAATAAAAAAAAAAAATTGGGAAAGGGATTTGAAGCGTCAATTAGTTCTTATGTTTTTGTTGATCAAAAATGATTTATTTTGATAAGTACATTGTTTATGCACTCGCGAAAAAAAAATAATTTTTTTTTTCAATTAGATAAAATAATTTTAATTTAAAAAAATAATTAAAAAAATGATTATATATTGTTTAATAATTAACATAATAATAGCTACAATGATAATAATAACTAATAATAATAATAATAATAGTACAATATTAAATATACATGACGTAGTAAAAAAATAACACATGAAAGAATAATCCCGAAAAAAATTTTTCGTGAAGCTTATTATACATATTTTTTTTTTTTTTTTTTTTACTGAAGTGCATTCACATAATATTAACCATATTTTTATAATAAAAATAACACTAGTCGTATATATTTATCAAAATATATCCAACTAGTAAATATGACATAAAAATAATTGGATGAAACAATTATGAGTCTGGGATAATACAAGAGAAATTACAAAGAGGGGAGTGCTAGGTCCAGCTACACCACGCTAGGAAAAAATGAACATAAGGAACTGTTGAAAGAAAAAAAAAAAAAAAAAAAAGTAACACAATAACTAAAGTAAATTATTAACAAAAAGTTTGAGCAGTGGATTGAGTTGTTGAGGAAAGAGACATTGGCTAATGGATGTTGGTTGACCGCAGGCGGGAACAAATTTTTTTAGGGAGTTGATTTAGCAATCGAGGTAGTACGTTGAACTCGCGTGAAAAAAAAAGTAAAATAATAAATAAAGTAAGATAAAAAAAAATACATAAAATAATAGTTAACAAAAAAATATACATAGAACGGAGTAAGCGAGTGGACGCGCGCGATAACGTATACATTGTAAAAAAATAAGAGCTCGAAAGTAAAATTACAAATAGCCAAGTTTATAATGATAGAACTTGATTGATAAAACTATAATAATAGATATATTAATGTCGCAAATATGAAATCGTTTATCGGAGAGGAAGGTGTAGCGGGAACTGCGGCTCGCCCTGGTGCTAGCAGCGCCTACCTGCTGGCCCTCCAACAGCGAGGCCGAGCGGATTGTAGGTCGAGGATGCAGCGAGTACAGCGGATGTTGTTAACGATGCAAGTGCTCCTCCACCAGTACTACTATTACCAGATGGACTAACAGCCTTTATTGACGTCGATACGTTGTTAATAGTAACGCCAGAAGTCGTTGTTTGAATGCTGTTGCTATTGCTGTTGCTATTGGTGTTGACAATATTTAAGTTGGTACTGCTGTTGACGGTGGTGGTAGTGGTGGTGGTGTTGTTCACCTGAACCGAAGACGAAGGTGAGGATGTTACTGCCTGCAATAGGCCTGCAAACATTCCGAAAGGATGCGGATGATGTTGCAACGTTGGTGGTGGTGGTGGTAGTGATAATGGTGTTGGTAGTGGTGGTGGTGGTGTTGATGTGGATACCACGGAGCCAGGGGTGGATGAGGCGCGAGGAGTTAAATCAAGTGGTCCACCGGCTATTGAGCTTGATGGGCTGGTGCTTTTTTCACTGCAATGGTAACGGTCTAGTGGTGACGTTGAACCTGGTGTTGCTAATCCACCCGGCATTGCTAATCCGCCAGTAGCTACTGTTGTTATTGTACGTACTTGATTTTCCAATGCCGCTAGCGAGGTAGAAAAACACGGTGGCATTATCATTGACGGTGATTCTTTAGTCTCATCTCTCTCATTAACGTCGTTATCGTCCTCGATGTCGGTCGTCGAGGGACGCCGATTCATCCGTTCTCGCAAATCTTCGGATCTTTCGTCGTCATCACGTCGGTCTTCATCATCCTCGTCCTGGTCCTCCATGTCCTCCGAGTGTTCGTCCAAGTACGAACCTCGTGGGTGCTGGAACGGATTGTGAAATTGTAAATTTTTCGCGTGATAAATATTCATGTCCTTTATATCCATATCGTTATCGTGCAAATGTCGCTCGAGAGCTGGATGCCGCGTTGGTGGAAATCCCAGGGTGAACCCACCGCCCGCTGGATGATGATGCAGTCCTGGGAAACCTTGTGGTAGAAATGATGCCAGTGGATGCGGAGGATAACCCGGTGGGAAGTCATTAACCTCTGCGGCTTGAATTTGCTCAGGGCTTAAGTCTGTTGGTTCACCCGTGTGCAGTCGTATGTGTTGCTGGAGCACAAGTGCATTTGTGAATTTTTTATGACAAACCGGACACTGATGAAGTACTCGAAGCGGCGGTTTAGCACGATGTACACCCATATGCGTTTTTAAATTCCCTTTTGTTGTAAAAGCCCGTCCACATATTTTACATTTAAATGGCCGTTCACCTGTGTGCGTTCTGTAGTGCATTTGTAATGCACTCTTACATGACAATACTCGATGACAAATTACACATTGGTTTGGATCCGTCAGTTTGTGTTCAATGTTATCCACTAATTGTTGCAACTTCGACGTCTCTGATGTTTTTGTTATTTCAATAAGACTCTCCCAGGAATTATCATTACTACCGGGCCTCGGTAATAAATTTGAATAAATTGCTGGATCTTTTGACGGATCAATGATCATTGACTCGTGACCAGGAATATTTGTACCATGAGTTATTGAACTAGAGGTTGGAATAAACGGTGGCATGTGCTGATGATGACCAGGCGGCGCTGTAGGGAACAACAAACCAGCAAATGACGTTTGTAAACTTCCACTGCTGGCAGTACTACTTGCCGGAGACGCACCAGGATGATGATAACCCACAGATTGTTGATGACACATATTGCTACCTCGACCAGATAAATTTTCCGGCTGTTCTTCCATCTCTTCATCACCGTCCATATCACCATCTGGCTCTAGTCTTCCGCTCATTTTGCTGTCCATACTGCAGTCTTCATAGGATTGTAAATGCGCCATGCCCATCACATTTTGATTGGACATCATCAACGGCGATGACCTATCCAGATACCGTCTCGGCGAAGGTGGATCAAATTCATCAATTTCATCTTCCGGCTGGTCTTCATCTGTTGGATCTTCAGGCTCTCGTTTTGGCATGATTGTCGGTTGTGGTGTCGTCGTTGTTGCCGTCGTCGTCTGGGTCATCGTCGTCTCGGTCATCGTCGCTGTCGTCAAATCATCAGGACCCTGACTTGTGTTATCGTCAGGCCTATTGGATTGAAGAGGTGGAGACAGCTGTTCACGTTTCATCTCCTCTCGTTGTCTATCAATAAGACAAGGATGAGCAAGATGGGAAGAATTTTGTGAAAAAATGGCGTTTGTTATTATTGACGCGTTATTAGTGTTGACAGGCGACTTGGGTGAATGCATTAACATAGACGGTGATGTAGACGTTGAAGCCGCTGTCGTAGTAGTCATTGTGGTGGTAGCGGTTGAGATTGAGACTATTGGTGGTTGTGATGGTAATAACGGTGGTAGTGAAAGTGGTGGTAATGGTGGCGGTGGTGGTGGTGGTGGCGGTACATTACTAATATTATTATCGTTATTACTATTACTATAAATATTATTATTATCATTATTATTATTAATATTATTACTATTATTATTATTTTTTTTGTTATTATTAGTCGTAGTAGTAGTAGTAGTACTAGCAGTAGTAGTAGATTTACTAAGGTTCTCCGGTAGATCCTGATCGTCGCGTTGATTAACGATTGGTCCTCGGTGGTAAAGGGTTGGTGGCATACCAGCAGCGGCTGCGGCTGCTGCTGCGGCGGCCGGTAGGGCAAGACTCAGGGGTAAAGAAGGTTGTGGGTGATGTGGGGGAGGGAGAAAACCGTGAGTTGAGGCTGGGTGAAACGAGGCGTGATGAGGTGAGGGAACCGAGCCCGCGGTAGGCGGTGCCGCTGAGGGTGGTGGAGGTGACGGAAGGGGTCTCTGACCGGAGGCCGCGAGCTGCTGGAGCAGAGGAGGATGGTACTTGTCGAGGTGTTCAGGCACGGGATTTGGATTCATCTTAACGTGCGGAAACTTGGCCGTGTGCCTCTGGAAGTGGACCTTGAGGTTTCCCTTGGTGGTGAATCGGCTTCCACAGACGTTGCACTTAAAAGGACGCTCACCTGTGTGGGACCTTATGTGGATCTGAAGGGCTGAATCGCTGCCGAAGACCTTGCCGCAGTACCGGCATCGGTGCTTGAAGAATGGTTCGCCCCTACCGCCGCCGGATTTTGAATCGTAAGGTGATAAACGTGAGCCGCTTTTCCCACTGCGAAACGCCAGTTCGTCCGCCAGGTTGTTTGCAAGGAGACCTTGGCTCGCGTTGTCCAGCACTTCTTGGGCGCGTTTTTGCAACATCTCCAGCGTATTTGGCTCATTCAGCGGCATTGGATCGTTGTTGGTGATGATAGACGAGGCGAGAGACGAGCTTATTGAGCACAGTGCCGGCATTTGATGCTGTGACAAAACCGGTGTCTGGCCAATCGTGCAGTTATTACTAGCCGTTGTGCAGGTGATTGCTGAGGTGGACGATGGTACGGACGTGGACGTTGAATTTACGATCCCAGGTACTGTGGGAATCGTTAGACTTATCGGCGATGTACTCGTTGAACCGGATGGACGTTCTGGATGGCATACTACTGGTACGTTGAGCGGCGATGACGGCGGATGATGACTTGCGGGTCGAGATGATGGCGGAGAATTCAAACTGGAGATTGATATCGATGATTTTTGGTGGTGCAAAGACGGAGACGGTGGCGTGGATAATTCTTTTGGTTCAGTAATTGATTCACCAGGTACAACACCAGCTGGCACAGCACCCGGTTGACCTGGACCACCAGTGTGTGTTATCGACAATTGTTGCTGTAGCTGACTAATCAATTGCAATTGAAACACCTGCTGATGCTGGAGAGTATAGAGCGTACTTTGCAATAACGCTAAGTCTTGTAACGCTGCTTCACTATCCGCGCCACCGGCAAGTGCCGTTGCTGCAAACTGTGCCACTGCGACTTTGGTATTTTGTAGTGCTTCAAGGGTAACATGACTCGTACCCGCGGGCACTGCAAATAACCCGCTCGTTGTTCCACTTTCGATAAAACTATTATTATTCTCAGCATCCTGACGATTTCGTATTTGCTTACGTGAACCTTCCTCATCCTCATCCTGATCTTCTTGCTCGTCCACCACCTCCTCATCGTCCTCCTCCATCGGCAATTCATCCGGCTCACGTTCATCCTCGTCCTCAAAGTGAGATCGATTTGAAGTTAAATCAACAGCTGACTCGCTTACGTTAACTCCACCACTGCTATCTTCACCCTCTGATCCCGTTTCATTGTCGTCCTCTGTAACAAACCAATAAAAAAACACCATCAATTATTTGGATCAATTACACTTTTTAAAAATTACACTCATTGAAAATATTTAAATCCCCATGAAAAAAAAAAATCACCAAAAATAAAACAAATCGCATATATAATTAAAATTAATCATTAACCCGTACCAGAATATCGTGGAGAAGGTAATCGCGATTGATTAATCCCATTACTATCTTGCTGCCAGTTTTTCGAATCCCGTCGCTTGATATTTCGATTCTCTAAGCCTCTCGTTATGCTCCATCTCATAAGTTGCATATCGCTCGATAAAATCCACAAATTTTAAATTCGTTTGTGTTTAATCATTTAAGCAGATAAAAAAAATAATTATTTCACGCACTAGTTTAAATAATTCCCGTCGGACAGGTAACTTATTTATCACACACGAACGCAACTTGTCATTTGATATACAATTTAAAACAACCATAAGTCCTGACAATAATTAACATCAACAATAAAATCCATCGAACAACAAATGAGTCACTAATTGGATGAATTAATTATAAACAAAATCACGAATAAATAACAAGCATAAGCGACGACATTTGACAGTATCCGTGTTAGGTCATGTGTGGAGCGTAAGCCGACGGTCTCGTACAGAGATACATCCGAGACTGAGGAGAAACAACTAAATGCTGTGGAAAGAACCGACTCAGCAAGTTAGTCAGTGTTGGGGTATCGTACAATCGCTTATGCTCCTCACCACTCGTGAGAGTCCCCACCAGTGGAAACTGGCGCCCCCACCTAACCAACTAGCGACTACTCGCGACTCCTACGCGCGTCGGTGGTACAGTACAACAGCTAACAGACGATCACTACCACTAAACCAAAGCAGCTACATACAACTACACCCGGCAAAACTACATGGTTGGTACACCTTGGATTATGACAGGATGGGCGTTGCAATTCATAAATCAGAGGGAGAAAGGCGGAGCTTAAGCGAACCACTCACCGACGACTTTATTAATTATTATCCGTATTTGAGCACCCCCCACGTGTTGTTCCACCTACGCTATACTTTGCGAATTTACCCTCCGCTGGCACCACCAACCTCCTTTTCACGGTCTCAAGCAACTTTTCTACAACCGTAACATCGCGACCATTCTTTTCCACATGCCAACATACTGTATCTCCTTTTTTACTTTTATTTTATCATACTTTTTTTTCCTTATGATCATCATGATAATGATGATAGTTTCATCATTAGATCTACCGAGACGATTAAAATCGTTATTTTATTATTACAATCTACGCTCCTGATGGGTAAATTTATAAGGGATCTCCGGCTATTGACGTTTTTAATACGTATCATACTTTTTTTTTATCAGTATAATGTATAGATGGAAGTAAGTCGGGTGATAAAAAATTTATACCTGGAAATATTTAACAGGTGATTCATTTTATTTATTGCAGTGTTAAAAATTTTCTTTTTAAAATAACTTGTTTTTTTTTTTTTTTTTTATAAATTAATTGTATACAATCATTAATTATTTATGCTTTTCACTCCAGTTAAATATTTAACTCATTAAAATATTCAATTAGAAATTCATTTTTTTTTTACTTGTGCCAGTTTATATTTTAATTAATTATATTTTTAAACGATAAAAATTATTAAATTAATTATTTACTGTTTAATAATTATTAATATTTAATAATTATAATTTAACAATATTTTAATTTTTTTTTACATTACACAATTTTTTTTGCTCAAAATCTCCTAAAATTATAATTATTTAAAATATACTACTACGTAATTATATATATTTAAATCTAATTAGAAACATTAACAAAGTTTTAATGATTACAGAAGTTAGAACTTGATCTCAACACTGTATTGACACGTTAATATATCTTACAAAACTTTTCAATTCATCTGAACGATTTTTTTTTATCTACATAATTTTACTCTTAATTAATTTAATTCTAAAGTAACTTATCAATTTCTTTCATTAAATTTGAACTTTATTGACTCCAAGTTTTAATTCTTGAAACTTTAAAAAATAATTCTAATTAAAAATCACAAAAAAAATTGAAATTTTATAATTTGTTACAGAAAAGAAAAAAAAACCTGTTGACTGTTACAGTAAAAATTCCCTTGAAAAATACTTTCTCTTTCACAATTATACCGTAACAATGATATTATAAAATATTATTTCCGCTCAAAGCCAAATAAAGTCTTCAAAAGAATAATAATGACGGCTATATTATTTTTGCTCTACAAATTTGTTATTGACTTAATAACGAATGAAAGATGTCTTTGTAAATGAAACTAGGGGATAACTTTCACTGTTCATGCACTGGCAGAACTACAATACGGCGCGTGGCTTATGTCCACTGTACCTCTGTATATCTACCTGAATTATGATTTATTGCTCCGGATAATTTACCGTAGCAAAAGTTATCTTAAAGTCAAGGTCTCTTTACAATAACTCAAGCAAAAATAATATTTTCCAATTGCGTAACTTTAGATCTCCCGGACAGAGCACTACTGGTTTACTTATTATTTTGAGAACCATTCGTCCTTGTCACCGTACTAGCTGGTGGCAGAAAAAAAATGGACTCTATATCCAGAAAACGGAAGCTATTGTCGCATGATTTATATTGTGTCAAAAACTATAAATCATATCATTTTAAAAACTTAAGTGTACTATAATGTATAATATAATCTTATAAACTTGTAAGAGATGAAAAGTCAATGCTTTTACTTATTGAAATAAATTTTCTATGGTGCTTTTTTAAAATAGTCGGTCAGATAAAGAATAAAGACATAGGAAGGACATCATCTATTTATATTTCGATTCTTGTTTCATTTTGGATTACCAGTCTTGGTTTTCGTTGGAAGAAAAAAATCAAAACTGTAGAAAATGAAATACTTAATTATAATTCTTCGAGGCAATTACAACCAAAATCAAAAAAAAATCAGACAGCTAGAAATTATTGAAATATATCAAGATGACTTTACTGGAATATTTACTCACAAAAAACTAAAAATCTAGACATCTTTAGTGATATTAAAGTGTATAATCAGAATAATGCTCCGTTCAAAATAAGATACAAATAATCATATAGCTTGTTACTTTTAAATTGTACTTAATAGATAAAAGCCGTAAATACTTATAAATAATTAGCTTCTACACTGATAAAAAAGTTAACTTCATTCAAGAGAAAAAATCTTGAATTAGGAATATCATTTTGAAGAAAATGATTTTCTTGAGTCAAGAGAAAAAATTCTTGAGACAAAAAAAATTTATCTAAATCAAGAATAATTTCTTGACTCAAGAATTTTTCTTCTTGATGTAAAAAATTTATTTTCTTCGAAATGGTATTCACGAGTCAAGATTTTTTCTCTTGAGTCAAGTTATTTTTTTGATCAGTGTAAGTTAAAATTTTGCTCAATATGATTTTTTTCAAATTTTTTCCACAATTTTAACACACTTTATATGGTAAACTTTAATTTTAAACATTAGGTCAATTTTCATGGACAAAAACAAAAATTACAATTTAATATATGGAAACATGTAACAAAAATTAATGAAGTTAAGATTTTTAAGGCTAACATTTTCGCTTAAAGATCGAGTCTTCCGTCTATAGTCTGTTTTTTTAATTAATTTTTCAATTCTTAAAAGTTTACATACTTAAGTAATAAATTTTATCGAGCCTCGAGTCGAAAAAATGAACTTATAGATAAGCTTAAATCAATTGTATTAGTATAGCCGTCAAGTTAATGTTTTTAAACTTGGATACTATTCAAAATATTTTTATCAATTTTTTATTACTCGATAAATATAAAAAATATTAATAAATATTAAATATTACGCCTGGAGTAAAAAAAAGTTAAAAACGATTGCATCGTTAATCTGTAGTCTATATTTTTTTCTTACGATTCGAAAAAATTGTTTGTTTATAATTTAATTTTACATTTTTCGTATATAAGTTTGTCTTCATAAGTAAAGCCTCCATTATCCGTAATTAAAAAATTGCAATTAGTTTAAATAAAGTTATATAATAACATTGCGGTCTACTGTAATAAAAAAAAAAAAAATAAAACATTGGAAAATAAAATACTAAAAAAAAACCAAACATTAAATGGATCTATAGTCTATAGTCAATAGTTAAGCGGTCTCAAACATTAACTCGTCGCTTAACTTGAATTCCAGAAAGGACACTGAGAAAGACTGGTTGACTTACGGCCGACAAACGTACGTAGTGACAATAGTGAAAATGGGTCGGAAGTAATAATTTACACCCATCGCAGACTGGTATGGCTTTTGGTGTCGCGTCTGCCTGCTGCCCAAATAACTATACCAGTCCTATCCTGCCTCCACTCATTCGAGTTGAGTTTTAGTCTCTAACCTAGGATCCATATTCCGAGTAGGACCTAACCGGAGTTTATATACACACAGTCGAGTCTTAGTTTACGGGATAAGATACTATACGCACACTATTAGACACATATAAGAGAGGTAAAAGTTTGAATGCGGTGGTAGTGGTGTCATCAGCAGTGGAGTTAGTTTGTGTTTGTCGACGAATTTCAGCTAAATCCCGAAACTTTTGGAGCCTATACCGTTCAACTTTACACTGTAGTTGTATACAAAGTCAGTCGTACAGTGTCATTTCTTCAGTGTGTGTTTAATAGAATGAGAATGAACTAGCTGAAGAATGCTGCTGCCGACGAGCTAAGCAGAGTATTGAATGGATAGGATACTTTTTGCTTTAGTTTCTCATCTTAAAATTCTATACAAGGTCATTTAATAAAAGAAAAAAAAAATAAACCGTTAAATTTTTAATTTTATGGTTAATGTGTCTCGCTGGAGAATATTTTGTGATTAATGATTAATAGTTATGTGATTTTTATGCTTATTCATACAAGTTTTGGTTGGACATTTGAAAGCTAGATAAATATATTTAAAAATGTTAGATTTTAATTCGATGATTGGTTGTATGATGAAACAATTGGGTGGCATGTGAACATATACTTTTACGATAATTAAATAAATTAATTTAGTAAATTAATGTCATAACCGATTGAACCTTTAACTTTTGTAAATAAATAAATAAATCCAGTCAAGTATTCTAATTTACAATTATTAGTTATCTTTAAATTTTAAATTATATTAAAATTTATAAATTACAATTGCAAATAAATTTTTTTATAATAATTAATACGATATTTTATCGAACAATAAAGTCTAGTGTCGACATATTCAAAAATTTCTAATTAATTCTATTCTTATATATTGTCTTTAAAAAGTATACGA